CTAACACTCACCAGTTGTTGTTACTTCAGGTCCTAGCTCAGTGTGGCCCAGGAAAGCGTATCGAAACCCCTTAGATCAGCTGGTTGATTTCTTGGACCGGAAACATGGTGAGGACTGGGCAATTTTCGAGTTTCGAGCCGAGGGCACAGGGTATCCTGATTCCGAGGTCTACAACAGAATCCATCACTTTCCGTGGCCAGACCACCACCCGCCTCCATTTGCCATCATCCCAAATGTTATGGCCGCAATGCGCAACTGGATTCAACGAGTGGATGAGGAGGCAGATAAGAGCAAGGACAAGGACAAGAAAAGAGTGGCTGTGATACACTGCAAGGCTGGCAAAGGGAGAAGCGGGACTGTCGCGTGCTCATACCTTATCAGCGAGGAAGGCTGGAAGAAGGAAGAAGCCCTCCAACGCTTCACGATGCGACGCATGCGGCCTGGGTTTGGCCTTGGCGTGAGCATTCCAAGTCAGTTGCGCTGGGTTGGTTATGTGGATCGATGGGCAAACGGTCTGGGCAAACGATATGTCGAAAGACCTGTTGAAATCGTCGAGATCCATGTGTGGGGTCTAAGAGACGGCGTCAAAGTTTCAATTGAAGGCTATATAGACGGAGGCCGTCGCATTCGTACGTTTCACACCTTCAATCGGCAAGAGAAGACCGTGGTTGACGAGGGCAACGGTCAACAGTCGAAGGCGCTTCCTAATGGGAAAAGGGACAGTGAGATTCTTAGCACACCTGAGAATGGCTCTCCGCTATCATCTTCGTTGAGCTTGAGCAGAGCCTCTTCGGGATCAACTCAAAACGTCATCCTGAAGCCATCTTGCCCACTGATACTACCCACCAGCGACATCAACATCGACTTTGAACGACGAAACAAGGCTGGCTACACAGGCCTCACAATGGTGACGGCTATTGCACATGTTTGGTTCAATGCATATTTTGAAGGAGGCCATGAAGGACATTGTTCAGGCGTCTTTGAGATTGAATGGGAGGCAATGGACGGTATTAAAGGCAGCTCCAGAAAAGGCACTAAAGCTCTTGATAGATTGAAAGTCGTCTGGAAATATGCGGAACAAGAAGGAGATGGTGTTGCTATGGGACGTGTCATCACGGAACCCGAGAAGGGCGAACCAGTACCGGAAGGACAGCCTGCCAACTGGCGCGGCGAAGACGATGAAGAGGTCCAACCCGCCGATGGCGTTGACAGCGGTCGAAAGGGGGCCGCTGCCCTCACAATGAGTGCAATGGTCAATCAAGGAGCGAGCACCCTAGGCAAAGAACTCGGCATCAGGAAGTCCAGAGCCGACAGTGCCAACATAAGTCGGGCATCAAGTGTGAAAGGCGGATCTACAACCCCAGACATGGGCCCTGCTGCTCAACAGGTGGAGGAATCTGAAGATCAAGGCGTGAAGCAATGTGGTCCAGAAGGGGAAGAGCTCTCTTATGACAGCTCTTCAGACCCTGAAGGTGGAAGCAGGCAAGACACCAAGACCGGTCATAGATTGGAAGCTGGGATGGCCAAGGTCGCTCGCGTGATTTCTAAATTGAGGCCTTCGGAGGACAAGGCTGCAAAAAAAGGAGAGGATACCGATCATCAGGTGGGCAAGGAGGATTCTGCATGATTTTATGACTTAAAAGGCGTTGATACCCTTTGCAACGCGGGTCCACATTGCATAGTGTTAGATGGGTACTCTGGAAAGAGAAGTATGTTTGTCTCGTCCTTTGATCGTTGTCGCCGTCTGCTTTACAAATCGTCCGCCGCGTCCTTCCAAGCGTTTTCATGAACAGTCGCAGTTTGGCCCGTTTGTTTAACCATTTTCTGTATAAATGTGTGACTATCAAAGAGTCTCCTCTTGCCTATCCATAGTCTTTGTTCTATACAACCACTCGGAGACCGTTCAAGCCGATTTATGGATCCCCATGCAACAGTGGAAAAGAGCGGCAAAAAGGAGACAAAGACTCAGCCATCTAGCATCAGCAATCGCAAAAACTCAAGCCTAGCAGACTCATCCGATCCACCCCCGTCATACATCCAACCTATTCCAATCCCTGCTCGTCCTCAGCAGCCGACCCAATATCCATATCCCACCGAGCTGCCATTTCGACCCCATCCACGACATGTATCCACCTCATCTGCAGGGTGGACGGAGGAAGCTATCACGCAACAACAAGAAATGCCAGATTATATCCAGAGGGGCTTCCACCCCAGCTTGGTCCACAGGCCGCCGACGCCGAAGCCCCGTGTATGCTGATTTCGGCGGTCGCTGGGGCAGTAAGGATGAAAACGGCAAGGGCAGGAGGGAATGAGGCCTCCATGGGCGGAGGCGAGAAGGATGGGATCCAAGGGGCCCGCTGGACATGGCGATTACGAAGATATCGACTGATTCGCGGAAAGACTCGACCGCAGCCATTTTGTCCTGCTGGTGGCGCATGCTCGATAGTCAAGTAAGTGGTTTACAGGCCTTATGGACTGCGGTCTCCCCCGACGCTATTTGAGTCTCTAAGCCCCAATAGCTAACAAAAACCAATAATATCGCGAATCGCGTGACGAGAGGTCGTAATCTCGGAAGAACAATCCATCCCAGGTATTCCCGTCGCGGATGGAGAATCATCCTTTCATATTACGTTGTAAGGCTCAGCTTCAGCGGTGACTCGTTTTGAACCCTCCAAGTGGACCGCCCGCGCCTCAGCTGGACTCAGCTATGTCTCGTGCTATTACCCGTGATACTCTGACGGGGATCGTTATCGGCTGAAGGGCATGCAACAGTCGGTATTAAAGATCATATGCCGCGTATCACGGCGAACCCATCTAATATACAGTTCAACACGAAGAATCCAGCTTTGAGAGAAGAAATTCCCAGCACCTCAGCATTCCAAGCTCCAGTCCTAGTGGCGCCGCTTCTTTTTCTTGCGGACTCTGCGAAGGCCGTTCTCCATGAAAAGGACGTCATCGGCGGACGTGGGAACCTCCCCAAGAATCCTAGGGGTCTCTTTGGATTGGAAAAGTCCGAACAAGTTCGGAGGCCTTCTCCAGATTCCGATTCCGTCCAGCATTTCTGGGTCGAGGCCGTGCAAATTTATGTTGACGGAGCACGTGCTGTTGTGGACGAAGCCGTGAAGGCAAAGAGGGTGTAGCGCTTCAGCAAAGGCCAAAGGTTCCTCGATATGGAGCTGGCGATATGTGGGCATCAAGATATGGAAGACGGGATCCTTTCCCCATTCTCCTGATTTGGTGAACACAGCCCGAAGATATCGCATCCAAATGCACAGGGTGTCAAGATTCTCAGCCATGCCGAAGAAGGAATTCGGAGTCGGCTTCCTTTCCACCAACTTGCAGAAATAAGGATGCCAATCGGTGTCGGGGTGGTAGACAAAGTAGAGGTGCTTCTTAGTGGACTTAGATGTGCTTTTGGTCATCATGTCGATGTATCCGTAGACTTGAGCCGCAAACTTTTCCGGGGCGTCAAGACGGGTCTGTGCCTCTAGCTCTCGGCGGATCCCGCGCAGCTCTGCGATGATCTGCTGTCCTTGATAGACCTGGATGAACTGCGCAGTCACACCCGCAGCGACAAAGTATATGTGAAAGCCGGCCAGGTATTTGCCATGGGATGCCAGGATTTTGACAGCGGGCATGGCCTTCTCGACGACACTGGTTAATTTGTCTGTATTGTTGAAAATGCTAGGTATTTGGCTTATGGATTTGCTGACTGAACCCAGAGTACTTATCATCGTCTCTTCGGGTCCCTGTGACTGACTTGTCGGCTTTGGCGTGCTGATGTCTTGGCCCATATTGCAGTGAACAGCTCAATACATTCAGTGAACGGTAGTCTCGGGAATTAAGTGCCAACGGAAACTCCAGAATCTGCTATGGTTTCGAGGCTGCAAGGATAGGAGGTGTACAGGCGGTGGCGCTAGAAAATATGAGTCCCAGTGTATTCATCTCGCATGTCGACAAGTTTATCTTGCAGCGAAAATATGCAGCCTCGTCAACTGAGGGGAGTTGTAGTGCACGGCTGGTTATTGAGCTTTCGGACAGGAAAGTACGGAATATATTATGCATAATGCAGGATGGCGCTGATTCTAGTTGAATTGGATACTCAGCTTACCGATCTCTGGAACGAGGCGCGCGGTGGTCCGTTGCGACTGTAGAGCTTGAAGCTCTGCAGTTGACGTGGCACTTTCTTGCTTGATGGGCATCGTTGTCGGTCGGGGCGACCACAGCCCCAACTAATCGCCCTGCGTTCGTCGAAACCGAGCCATTCACAGGCATAATTGTCCCACTCTGCTGCAGCCACGACATTTGGCTCGAATCTGGGCAGAACACGATATCAGAGCCTTGACCTGAGTACTGCAAACGATTTTGCTCGCTGCTGTGACACCAATCCCCAGCCAACAATCTAGCTCTCGAAATCCGATGGCAGCATCCGAGAGAAACAGGGGATCCACTGTATGATACTTGAAGACCCATCCCAACTGTGAGCGTGTGGAGGAGCACGCCAAACCAACACCTCACCAGCCGGAACTCCAGGCAGCAGACTTACCCGAAACATGGCCTTGGAATCATTTTTCTCGACCACTACTACCATTAAGGACTTGGCGCGCACGTGCCACTTTGAGAGCCAGTGAGAGTTAGCCAGCTACTCATCTCTACTTACTCTCTACTTACCCTCTACTTATTCTCTACTCAACTACTTGTTCGAAGTCGCTCTTGTTTGGATGGTTCTATTTATTCTAAGGAGAAGGGACACTAGACCCTGACATTGTGCTCCGCCGACACCTAAATTCAAAAAGAGAGCAGATTCCGCAGAAGGACTCCCTCTTCTCGGCGAAGATACCGCACGCAGGCTGGATTCGGGGTAGGGACGGCCTGCTGCTCATCTTCCTAGCTATCTCTCCTCTCCCTTCAGTTTGCGTATCCAATGAAGGGACTCACGACGCGCGACGCAGTGTGGATAAATCTCGTTCGAGTCTTGGACACTTCAACAGGCGCCTTAATCAACCATGAGTCTTTAGTCCTGAGAGGGACACATCCGGAATTGTCTTTACATTGGGAGTAATTCCCTGCCATTCTTGCTGCCTCTTGAGAGTCCCTATATACTTGGCCAACCCATCGGGAATGATGAACTCTTTACCGACGTCCAGCATTCGGATCAGGAATGGAAGTGTGTGGGCGTCCAACACCGTTGGGTTGTCCCCAAAGAGATACATGCTCTCACTACTCGGCCGATTTGCAAGGAGACAATCCATTTTGTTACAGAATCCTTTGGCCTTCTCGATGTTCTCTGCCACGCTTGGCGCCTGGAGGCCTTTCACCTTTTCGTCGGCATTCCTGGCCATGTTTTCAGCTTTGCAAGATTATCCAACGGACCATGATGGGAGACCCGCAGTTTGATTTTGTTCTGCAAAGCCTCCTTGTACCGCGGCGAGATGTCAAGCTGATTCATCAGCTCCTGGAGCTTCAACCACATGGCTTCTGGGTATTCAGGACGAATTTGGTAGGTCAAAGAATAAAAGTTGATATCATGAAGTTGTTTGATCAACTCGTCTATCGTTCCAGCATGTTCCGGGGGAAGAGGGGCGAAGGGTTGGATATCGGTCACAGATAAAATCGCTAATAGCAATACTTTCAGACATGGGATATGAGAGGAGAGTCGGATTACACAGCACAGGGACCTATGACGGACGTTACCACGACTGTAGGTCAAGTATGGCAATATTTTACCTTGCCCTTAGGATTGACGTTGCAAAGAAAATCTTCACTGAATTGTTCGAGCTTGATCGCGATATCAACCGTTCTAAACTCGATCATCATGTCATTGGATTCTCTCGAAGGAGGACCTCTCAGAGCATAGGTCAAATGAACCATGATCGAGCACAAAGAGAGCGGGAAGTAATACAAAATGTAGGGCGTTTCATTCGTCGAAACCATGGCCACGGACCCAGTCGACGTCGTCGTGTTCACGAGAGAAGAAGACCACTGAGGAGAACTTGTCTGGAATCAAACAAAAGCATCGTGTTAGTGCAGAAAAATATAAGAGTGTCCTCACGGACAACAGCTTCCATCTGAGCAGGCCGGCGACACGAGAGACGAAGATGGTCTGAGAAAAAGAATCCATTGAACTCACGTGACGCGGCTGGAGGACAAGCCGTTGACGTCCGGGGTCTGGGGTACGCAACATCGCTCGGGGACCCATGTCTGGAATACATTGGGCGGAGCCAAGTTCTAGTAGTTGTGGAGATGTCTTCATGCTTTAGAGACGGTCAGTGTCATGGACATTGTCGTGGAGAAAAGGCCCAGCCAGACCCTCCTTCCACAAGCTGGAATTGGGCGAGCATTATTGTTGACAAGGAAAGTGTTCTCCATGTTGAGGGAGTTCCCTCGAGCGAAAAAGACCCTACCCAACTTCCAACGTCAAACACTAATAGCCAAGGAATCGTCCTCGTTCCTCAGCCTAGCGATGACCCCCAAGACCCGCTGGTATAGTGACAATGCTCTTCATCCCCTCAACACGTCCCCGACTGACTTTGTCGAACCCCGAACCGGTCAACGGCATACAAGGTTTTTGTGCTCGGGATTCTTTGCCTGGGGGCATTCTCAGCCACCTGCTCTGCAGTCACGAACTCATCGGGCCTCGTGGCTCAAATAATGTGACAATGTCAGTGGATGCCGCTCGCAGATCAAAAAGCGGCTAGTCTCGCCCGCAGAGAGGGATACGTTACCGTGGGTCCCATCCTTCAAAACATTGCTTCATCTCCTCCATGGTCGCGGCTTGGGTCCGAACATTGTCGGGCAGATTGTCGGGTCTCCTGGCACGCTCAGATATCTTAACCATCGGCTCCATGGTTGGATTGTTGTCTGGCTTCTGGATACTGGTGGCAGCTGGCAGGTGGCATGTCATACATCAGAAATAAACTCCACTGGGAGCGGTTGCGGATCGGATACAAGACACAGTGTCTGTCCGGTCCGAGCCAAACGGTGGACAGATTCGACCGGAGCAATTCCTGGACATTCTGGTCTGCGATGGCCCTTAGGGCGTCCGCAGGAAGTGTCATTCGATATGCCAGGTCCCCAGTAGGGAGGGGAGGAGATGGTTGGCCGAGGATTTTGTCTCTCAGCGTCGACCAAAGGCCTATATGGTAGAGAGTCAATAATAGCTCAATAGAATGTACAGGATATCAATGAACAGATCAAATGGACTAATGAAATACTGAGGCATAGGAGACTGGGTAACTACACACCGTCTGCGGCCACCACGATGTCTCCTGCAATTACTGACCCGTCGTTCAAGATTACGGAGGCTTGATCAAAGTTCACATCTTGCACTTCGCAACCCAATTGGATCTTGCATCCTGCCGTGTAGCCTCTTCGTGTAGTGTCGCATGGTAGTCGGCTCGATGGGCGACACAGTGAACCATCAAGAGTATCAAATTCGTCAGAACGCAATTCAATTCCATTTCGGTCCATCCGGGTTGGTTTCTCGTTTGGAGGCCGTAACTCATAGAGTACTGGTTTCCACTCACCGAGGCCCATCTGCAGACTGCTTTGCGATTTCATTTTCGTTGATCTTGCGCAGGTATAATAAGATGCCGTCGTGGTAATCGAGAAACCGGGCTCCTTCGATAGGGACGGCGCCTTTCTGCATCAGAGAGTCGACCAATCCGTAATGTCGAAGAACTCGGATGGCATTCGGTGGGACGACGATCCCTGCTCCAATCTATGCGACACATGAGAAAATCTCCATCTTAGCCATGGCCGCTGCCCCGAGGGTAGAAATCAACTCTCAGATAATTTCGGGTTTCACGCATTGAGGCTGAGACATCCGAAAGCCTTGTCTAAAAGATCAGCAGTATCAACGTCCTGGCAGGAGTTCTGGGGTCCGCTCCAGAATGGTCACTTGACAGCCTTGACGCAGACAGCCTACAGCGCACGAGAGGCCGCCTAACTCGAGTTCACGGTCAATGGTTTTCGAATTCTCTACCCTTCATTTGTCCAAGTTGGTAGGTATGTATTGGATCTTGATATCAGGTTCAACTTATCTAGACCACAGCCCACTATGACGACCTCCAGCGGACGATGGGTTTGGGAATTGTTCATTGCGCCTTCTGAGTTTTTACCTCTCTTGCAAGTTGTCACTCTAACCGTCGATGTTGTCGGGAATCTCGAGTGGTCCGACAATTTCAAATTTGTAGGTGTTACTATTCAGAAAGGAGGATTTTTTGGGCCTATATTGTTGTTACCTGGACCTAGGACCTACATTCCCGGTCACAACAAGACTTAACATTCTCCCAGGGCCCACTGCATCCCAGGCATTCAACGTTCGCATTTCGAAACCGGCCGGTCAGGCAAAAAGCTCAGCCGGGACCGGGGGCGTTTCAAGGAGCCAGTGTTTTCTAGCCGGCGGAATTTCAATGCTGCTCCTCCACGGACGGGGAAGTGGTGGAGGTCGAAATCCACAGGTCCGAGTCCGAGGCATGTTGAGGTCGCTTCGTTCAGACTGTAATACTATCGGACAGGGTTCGAACGATCGAGACAGGGTATGATTTATTCCATGGACTTCTTCTAGGACTCTGGTGTTGCTCTCCCTGCCGCCTGTTTGTGTCCATGTTCTTTGTCAATCCCTATTCTGGAAGCAAGAATTGGGATAACTCAAGAGCTAGGAGTCAGAAAACAAGAATTTTCAGTCAATTTTGCAAAAAGAAAATAATTGAAGGAAAAAAGACACATAGCAATAGCAACAGCAATGACAACTGCAACGTCCACAATCTTGTCCTTTTTACAGCTATTAGTGTCTACCGTATCTGTTGATGGTGTTGGGAGTCGGAGTGATATAGCGAACCGTCAAAGAACGAAATATAAAATGTAAAGCCACAAGGAGTACAGCGTGGTTATTATACAACCCATTAGACATCAGACCAGTTATATTTTCATTCCATTTGGTTTTGGCTTACTATCTGGGTCAGAAGGCCGACTCACTATCCTCGTTCCCATTTTCTCCCTCTCTTACTCCTCTGTCCATTAAGGCAATTTCCTTTTCCCACATTAGAGACTAGTGAGTTCAGTGGGAAAGGGGGAGCATGATCACCTCCCTTCACCTCACCTGAACTCGACTCAATTCAACTCACAGCACAGCTGTCAAAGAAGGAGGTGGTATGGTCCTCTCAGCCAAGCTCGACCTTGGCCCAATGTCAGGCCTCTTCTTAATACTCGCTGGGTCTTCACCTGACCTGACGCGAAACAGGAGATCGTCCGGATTGAACTCGACGCCAAAAGGATTCTGTACGAACGCCGGACTCATCATGTACTTTGTGGCCTCCTCGTTATCTTCGAAGTTGTCAATTTGTGTTTCGATCTCATTCCCATCCGGGTCATGGTAATACATGCTCGTCGTGGTGCCGTGGTTGATACACCAGAATGGCTCGATCCCCCGGTCTTTGCGTTGTGCGTACGCCGTTGTGAGACTGTTCAGGTCGGCGAAGGTGAATGCGATATGTGACAGGCCGGATGAGGTGGGATCTTTGTTCTGGAGGCCTGGAGGCCCGGCGATGGCGATCCGGTGGTGTTCGTCGTCGTAGGTGAGGAAAGCCAGGAAGCCGTTATCCAAGACCACTTTGGCTCCCAAGAAGGTCGTCCAGAAATCTACCATTTCTTTGTATTTGTTGGTTTGGAGGACGACATGCGCCAATTTGACGGGCCTCGTTACTTTGCTAGGTGGAGTTGGGGCCATGAGGTTGGGCCGTTGTTGGGAATGAGGCTTGAGAAGAAGATTCGTAAATTTGTGATCTAGTCAGCCGTCCACGTTGAGGAATGAAGAAGAAAAAGAAGAAATTGTGAGCGCAGACGAGGGTACAGCTCTGAGACGAAGAGTCTCAACGGATGGTGTGAGTTATGAGTCGCGACGAATCTCGCCAACGGAGTATTCAACACCAGCAACGGTCTGGTTGTATGAACTGTCAAAACTCAAAAGGATAGGAACTCGGACTCTGCGAGATCATGGATTTTAATGTCACAGCTCCGGGGTAAGTACTTGGTAGGGCAACACCATCCTGATGTCAGATTCATTGCATCTGTCGACTCTCGAACTTGTCCGGCCGGGCGGACTTTGCTCAGTCAAAAGGGCGTCCTCCTGCTCCGGGTTCCGTCTGACTTCTTGGGTTCTGCCTCTTGACCAAAGGTTTCAAGGATCAAAAGATCACCACATCCGAGTTTGCAGGCATACACTGGGCTTGTGAGATGTACTGCATCAGGACTCTTTCTTATAGCCTCATTCAATAGGTCCTTAATGTTAGTGGTGTCATGGTACTTGGTGGTGGCGACGGTAGTGATGTCCGGCACTTACACTTGAAGCAGCGAGGCATAGGAGAGATTCAGTCCCGTGGGAACAGATACGCATGCACAATGTTTCGAACCATGCTTTTTAATCCTTGAACTTACTATTCACATAGGAGAAAACTGTCTCGGTCGAATAGGATGGCCCAAAGTTTCATTTGAAAATCAACATTGACCATCCGTTTTCTACCCAATTTCCATATTGTATATACATAACGTATCAGCTTGGGAGGAGCATTGTAAGATGCTGCAATCTTTCCTTCTCCGAAAGGACAAACCCATTGGCCGGCGTATTTTGCAGCTCATGTTTAGCACACATCTGGACCACGTCTGAATGCAAGCAATGAACATCATTAGCCAATTTCCCTTCAGGGCAACAAAAAAGGACTAGCAACAACATTAACTCACCTAGCACCATAGACCCCAACTCCCAGTACCAGGAGTGACGTTTCAAACACAGCTTTAATAACTCCATGTCTCGTTCCGAGCCTGCTTCCTCGAACGCAGGATCTGTACCACGCTTAAAATGCTGAGTGAGGCAGTTTTTGACGTGAATCGCGTATGGACCAATAATGGCACAGATTATGAATGGGGAGAAGGGCATAAACTTGGGAGTCCACGATCGGATCGCCGCGATGATTTCGTTGGTTTGGCTTCGACAACCACTGCGGAGCCTTTCAAATGTCTCCGAAGCAGGCTCATCAACGATTGAATTGGTTTCGAGCATACTGCCACAGACGGAAATAGCGATGAAGGCACTACCACTCCAAGATTAGCGGAATTCGATATAATTCTCAGATGAAATAGACATTGTAGGCAAGGGAAGACCTACTTTTGTAACAAAATGTGAGTGCAAGTGATCCATCCAGAACTAGGCTCACTGCCAAATACGCCCTCGACATTGTCAAAGGAAGGAGGTAGAGCCAAGGAGAAGTATCGAACGGCCGTCTCGAAGTCGTTTAGGTTCTTGCGGGTTAGACGAGAAGCTTGCTGCAACTCGTGTCCCAATCGGATAAAGTGAAGCGAGACCAAGTACCAAGCTTGTTCGGATTGGTTCGGGCAGTCGATGAGACTCTGCCACGCAGCCAGAGGCTCGTACGCGAGCGAAGCAGAAGCCACTGGGTTACCGCTGAACCAGTCCTTGTCCGAAACCGGGAGGAAGATATCTGCGCTGTCTCGGTCGAAGCCGTATGGACGGCGGCTGATGGTGGAGGCAAAATTATCCAGTTCCCATGCGGACCACCACGCGCGGCGTTTCTCTTCGTTGTCGATCCACGTCCTGCTAGAAACCTCGGGTGAATAAGAACTTACCTTGGTTGATTCACGGTCGAGCCTGTGCAAGCCAAGCTCGTAGGCGAGTCTGGAGCACATCCCAGTTAGTAACCAGGCACGCGGGGTGATTCCTGACGACAAATGATAGCACGCCAACATGATACAGCCCTGCAGAATGCGTAAGGATGGGCCCGATGTTGCGTCCGAGTTGTGTGCTTCCAGAATTGCTTCTGCCTGTCTTAAGAAGGACTTTCCACGCGTAATGGGGCTAAGACCGGAGAAGTGGTCTGACGTCGAGTACCTGGCCGAAAGCGCAAACATGGCGTTTAAGACAAAAGCAGACTCGGGCGAGGAAGAGCTGGTCGCGAGGTCTAAATGGCAAAGCTTGCCTGCAAATTGGTCCTCAAATTTGGGTCGGTGAAATAACGGCAACCAAGGCTGGATCTTTTCAAAGTACAACTGCAAGCTGATGCGTGTGAGAAAAAGAGAGAACCCTAGCAGCAAGATGGTCAACTTACAGGTGGCTGTACAGTTCCACTGGATCGTGGCATACCCTGCTCCGACATGTTTCCTGAGCAATGGCATCAGAGTCATTGGCACAATCAGCAGACGGAGAAATTCGTGGTTGCTCGACCCCGTCAATACTGGGATCCAAGAGTAAATTGAGGTCCAAAATTCCATCATAAAGCAGGTCATTGTGGTCAAAGTGCACCACGCTGTCGTGATTATGGTGCCATGCAACTTCCTGGTCGAACAGCGGCTGTGATTTCCAGGGATCGAGCCCATCCTTATCTGACATTTGTCCTGACGTGCCTAAGCCCATTTGAGGCTGGGACTCAGACGATGGGTCGTTTTCAATCACCTGGCACGTTGGAACACTCATATTGATATCTCTGGACATGGTAGAAGGCGGAGTAGGAGTCGGTTGCTGGAAGGCTACTGCTGCTCCTGATGTTGTTGTTGTAGCTGTCTCCGTCACTGTTGCTGAATGGTCATTGTTCGACTGATCCATTTGCATGCGAGATTCGAGAAGCGTCAGTAAACGGTCTGCCACTCCAGTCAGACAATCTTTCCAGAGGTGACATCGCACCTTGTAATAGTAAGTTACTCTACCCAGCTTTTGACGCTTGCTCTCTGGTTTGGCTTGACGCTGTCGCGTCCTATTCTCCCTAGAGGTCCTCCGTAACGGTTCCGGGAAAACGCATATTTTTCCAGTTCGGGCGCAGAGCGAACATGTTGGTCGGATCATGTCGCCTAATTGTTGATTAGCACGGGTCTCGAAAGTCCACCTCAGATGGAGCACATTTGCTCTTTTTCCTAGAACAAGAGAGCATGTCAGCATACGCCAACCGCCATCGCTTCGCTGGACAGCCACAGTGACACACCGTTTGCACTCATCACAGGCGCGCTGGCGACGATCTACTGTTCCGGGGAGGCTGGACGCAGAGGTGACTGCCTGAACTGCTTGCAATGGACCTTTCTCTCTTGAATCGGCGAGACGGGGATTGTCTAACATGTCCATTTTCATGTCTCTTTTGTAAGAGGCAATGATAAATTATTTATTGGCGGCTGTTGAGGATTTGTAGATTCTGGAGACTCAAGAGCAGCCTCAAACTTCAAAGCTCAAAAGTCAACGGTCGTCCTCGACCGATGTCACGTATGACAACGACCAACGAGCCCACCGTCGTGCTCAGCCTTCAGCTTCAAGACTGCTAACCCAAAAGTGCGGGGTTGGGCCCTTCAGGCCGCCACAACGCCTCGGGACGACTGCCAGGACTGCCCAAATGGCTAGGAAGGCTAGGGGGCCAGTGGGCTAATGAGGTTTGCCACCAGCGCCCATCGGCGCCCAATGTCCCCGACGCACCAACTCTCCGGATCCCAGAAGAGAAAACTGGGGAGCACATGCGAATTCCCTCTAGCCTAGTATTATCTAGGCCTGGTGTTGAACTGAGAGATGCTTGGGGCGACAACACCATGAGGGAGTAAAAGTCTGAACATGGTATGGAGGACCTACAGAGGTATCGCGTCCGCGGGGAAAGGGATCATAAATCATGGTCATGTGTCGACCGACTGATTGACTTATTCTAGGGAGTTTTAGATAGACTGCCAGACTACAAAGCTTCCAAGCCTGGGCGCAACACGCCATATCATATACTATCTACAGCCTGACCTCCCTCTGCAGAGGGACCACGAACTTGTTACGAATGATTCCCACCTTTTCAATCTCAACTTCCACCACGTCTCCGTCCTTGATCCAGACCGGAGGATTCTTCGCCATGCCAATCCCTGACGGCGTCCCCGTCATGATGACAGTGCCTGGTGCTAGGGTCCTCCCCCGGCTTAGAAACTTGATGATCTCGTCCACGTTGAACAGAAAATCAGCCGTGCTCGCATCTTGTCGAGTCTCTCCATTGACTTTGGTGGTTAGATGAAGATTGCCAGGGTCGCCGACGACTTTGGCGGACGCGATGACAGGGCCGATGGGGCCAAATTGATCGAACGATTTGGAATACGGTGCCCCTGCGCGCTGTTGCCAGTAACGACAGCTCACATCGTTGCCGACTGTGTAGCCCAGGATGTATGGTCTTACATCTTGCGACGAATCGAGATCTTTGCAGGGTCGGCCGATTATAACGCAGAATTCGCCCTGTTCGATTCAGGATTGTCAGGATTTGGATCAGGATCAGGATCAAGGAGCTCAAGAATACAAAGGACAGGGTTCAGGAGGTAACGAGGTAAGGGATTCCTGACTTCGTAGTCGATATTCGGACACTCAGGGTGTATTCTGATATCTTCGACTGGTCCTGCTAACGCCTCTAATCGAGTTGGTGTTGGTCAAAATGCCACAAAAAGGAGTCTAGGGCTCGGAACTGACGTGCGCCCTTGTGAAAGATAGCTGGCACCTGCGGTGTTTCAAGCTAAATTTCCGAGCGTGAGTGAAGCTTGACCTTGAGGCCTTTGGGAGGGCTGATTCCACATACCCCCGTTTCCTCGATATGTTTGCGATAATTCAGCCCAACGCAGTAGAATATCGGCGTAGTTTGGAGAGGCGACAGAACCTGGCTGCAATCAGTCCAGGATGGACCTGGAATTTGAAAGTTGAATTGTAAAGGTAAACGGCATATTCAACTTGCGAAGCGCCATGTTCCCGTTCCTCAACGTCATGATTGAAGTTGCAAGTCTCAGTGACATGGCTGGAGTATTTACTGTACCTCCTTGACTACCTTGTGCGTGCTACTTGCTCGGAAACCCGAATCCCACGGTTCGCTCCCCTCGAAGATTTGAATAGATGCGCCGACGAGTTCGGCCGGGTCTGTGGTCGAGCCTGCCTCTCCATACCGCGTGTTGCCGTCCTGGTCTATGAACCTCAAGAGGTGCTGGAAGACAGTGTCCATCGTGATATTTGTTGGGTCTTTGGGCTTTAAGCTTTTAGTTTTGAGTTTTGAAAATGACTTGAGATATGCTTCATGAACAGCAACAACCGAGTCTTCAGACGCTGAGGTATAATTTCATAGGCATAACCAATAACGCACGAGTCTTTAGACCTTTTGAGACATAGAAAGCGGATAACCCTGGGAAAACTACTTGTAGTAAGGAAAACGCGGTCCAGTGGGCCATGGAGGCCGAAGCCATGAAGCCGTGTCCGAGCCGTCGGCGGATGAAGAAGGGTACTCTTACTCGCTTGGGCTAAGTGCCGGACATCTTGTGGAATGCGTTCCCCGGGCTCCACCTCCGGTTTGACCACCCCATTGCGAATAGGCTAGTTGGTCATCGTAATTTCGTACTCCAATACTCCAGAGTGCAGACACTGCCATCGAGCAAGGAAGATGTTGGTATAAATTCACTCAAGCGGCAGCATCGAAGAACCTTGGATCGGTCAAAGATGCTCTTGGGTACTCCAGAGGGGATAAAGGTAGCTATGGCTCTCTTCAGTGATGCAATCCTTCGATCATCATTCCTCCATTATCTAGAGTCATGTATGGACGAATATCATAAACCTACAAATGACGCAGATTGACGGTCTGCGTATGAACAAACTCATTCAAACCCCATTTCTGGTTACTGCGTCCCCATCCACTACCCTTGTGGCCTCCAATGGGACAAAGTCGCTATACATGATATGTCAGTATTCGTTCAATAGCCGTTTTTGAACGCGCTGGGAGGGATAGCGACTCAAACATGGAGTATATTAAGAGCAGAGCAGGGGAGTTATCTTAATATGTTGCGTTCTTCTTTTTACTCACCCGATTCACCGGCTGTGAGGCCATTGACCTAGATAGTACCACACTCAATCTGCCTTGCCACCCGCAATGCGCGGGTTACGTTCTGCGAATACACCGCCGCATTCAGCCCATAAGCTGAACTGTTGGCCAATGCGACAGCCTCATCTTCTGTCTTGACAATGTATAGACTGACCGACGGGCCAAAGCTTTCACTGTCGTAAATGGCCATATCCTTGGTCACATTGGTCAGGATGATGGGCTGTAGCGCCGACGGCCGCACAAATCCCGGCATACCCGCTCCCAGCACAAATTCACAGCCCTTAGCGCGAGCGTCCTCCACAAGGCTGTTTGTGTTGTCGATGATCCTCTTACTGACGACATCAACAGGTTGCCGATTTTGGGCCTTGGCCCTGAATTCCGCGGTGAACTTCTCGGCTATCGCTTCTAATACTATAATCAGTTTGGTCGAGAAGCATATCTGTCCGTGGAGGAGGAATGAACCCAGAGTGTCAGTCATGTCAAATTTTCGGCAAAGTCGTAGATAGTACTGATGGAAAACAAAAACAAACGCAACAATACACTTTGGCGCGGCATTGGAGACGTCGGTATCGTCGAGCACAATGGTAGGGCATTTGCCTCCCAACTCCATCAGGACTGGCTTCAGATAGTGAGCCGCCATTTTTCCAATCGTCCTCCCGACGCCCGCGCTGCCGATGGAGTCATTTTACGGATGGCAGGATGCGCAATGACAGCTCGCGTGACATTTTCCGCATCTTCACGCCGGGTCTGGACCACATTTAGAGCGCCGGCGGGTAGGCCAGCATCAATGAACATCTTCGCAACTAGATGGTGTGTTCGGGGAGAGAGTTCTGAGGCCTTGAAGACGACGGTACATCCTGCCGCAAGGGGCTGGGTAATGGTTTTGGCAGGTAGGACAATGCCACCGTACCAGCTGTTGATTTATTCCATTTAGCAAGAGAAGGAGACAGAATGAGAAGTCAAGAAGGAAAAGGAAGGTAGGAAAGAGTTAAAACACAAAGAACACCGCACAGCTTCAACTTCATGAGTTGGAAGAGTTCAAGAGTAAGGAAGGACCAGTCTCACTCACGGGGCAATAACAAGGACCGATCCCACAAGGACTTGAAAGATCAAAGATAATTTGGATGGGTCGTCTGTACTCAGAATCTCCCCTGTCACCCTGGTGACACTGCAGGCGAGTTTCTCAAGCGACTTGAGGGAGCCGTGAATATTGGCCGCTGCCCACTCCTTAAAATTCGAGACATCGTTCTTGTCTAGCAGATCGGAAATCTAACCTGAGTGACAATTGCAGACGATGCTACTCTTGACAACCTTCAGAGCTTCAGCGCCTCTTGCATCGGCGTAGGGTCCTTAATGCTCGTCAGTCAATACCAACAAAGGTCTCGAGCTCGAATACTCCTGTGGGGCTTTAAGATTTTAACATACCGCCCAAACTTGATATAAAGTCAATCTCGGACCTTCGTTCGCGGATCGTTCCTCCGCAACCGCACGGGCACAGAATTCCTGATGCACAACTGTGCCAGATTTGAGCTCCGCCTGGAGCTCTCCAAGTAGCATCAAATCCATGCAACCCTGGTCTCGAAAATAGACGCGCGAGATGTGATGGCGCCGCTTCTGGATATGGTCCCATGCGTTCTTGCGCGAGTTTCTGATCGCTATTGCCTCTGATTCAGCTTGGTGCCTCTCCCGGCATATAAAGATTCAAAACATTGTGACAGCTACAAGTGTAGAGGTCATACCATTTGAGCCAGATACTCTTTGTTTTCCGCTTTTAACGACTGCATCGGCGGAAAAGACTTCATCTGCCATGAGAGGTCCTGCCTCTGGGGAATTTAGGTCCGCTAACTCGAAAAACCGATTCAGCAGTGCCTTAGTCTCGGTGGATATATCAACGTCTGGCCAAACCGTTCCTTCGCAGATGTAAGACATTGCTAACACGCACGGCTGTATGTTCGAATATGGGCTCTATTGTTTCTCAAAGCAGCAGACTGGGTGTTGCGGGTAGCACTTGCATGACTGTAGCTAGTGTTTTGTGGGTGAAGCGGCTCCGGCGTCGGGGTTGTTCAACGCACCAAGCGACGCCGCCTCCGGGCCCACAACTCAACCTAGCAGAAAAACATGGAAGATAGGTAATTGGGTCGAGCGCATGGAATGTCAGATCATCGGACAAGACTTCGAATCCTCCAAGGGTACTTAGAAGCTTGGAATACAATTGTCAGGGGTCTAACAGACCAAAACATGGATTCCGGAAAGTCCCCTTGGTGCATCTTCCAAGGGATTAGAGACTTGGACATCTAACACATCTTTGGACGTCCTGGGGGTACAGCTTCGACCTCCTTGGTCGTTTACACACCGTGGAGTGCTTGACGTGGGTGGGAACCTGCAACGAGCTCAACGCGGCGGATGAAGCGGACTGGTATGCCCGGTCCAGAGGCTTACCTGGTGTCCTCCTCACCACATTCGGTGGTTGGGAACTGAGTGCTCTCCATGGCATTGGCGCTGCGCACAGCGAGTTTATCCTAATCATTCACATTGCCAGAACCACGTCGCGGCTCGCACAAGAACGAAGGCTTATGATCCATCACACATGTGAACGAGAAGGCTGGGATCACAAACATTGGAAAAAGTGTCCCTTGTGTTCAGCCTCTTGCTCGCTGCAAAATGATGCTACCTTTACTCTGGTAGTTGACCGAGTCATCGAAGAAGGCTTTAGAGCACAACCCCCCGTATACTTCCGCGTCCCTGCAGACACGGCGGATATCTTAGTTGATACCAGCAGTCTCCGAAAACCTCTCGACTTGAATGTTAGATGCGATCAGTGTGGAGGCGAGCAGCTTTAAGACGCGATCGTGCAGAAAATTCTGTACGAAATGGACCAAGCGAAAAGATCATGTGTTCCGGTGAACAATCTCACTCGTCGTTTTGGGTTCAGCGACGTGGTGGCCGAGATGGTCGAGTTGACAGAATTTCCGGTACGTGGGCCAAACTTGATTATCCTTTTACTAGAAGCGCATTAATCTCCCCCACTTAGGGAGTTGTCACTCCTCTGGCCAAATCCACCCTCAATGAGAAGAGTAACAACTTTTGCGGCGTATATGGGGTTGGCCACTTCATCGGCGGAAGCGAGAGACGTGATTGAGAGAGCAGACCTGACCATCCACATCGGCCAGTTCTCTTCTGACACTAACACCGGCGCATTTACGCAGAAGCTGGCGGGGACATTCATCGGCCTTCATCCTCGTTCTGTCTTCATAGGCAATAGTTTCTTTCGTTCACATATTGAAAAATCTCGTCCATTGTCTGGGCTCTAGAGGGCTAAGTCAAGCTCCGCAGCCTTCAAATGAGCGTGCAGGTGAGAACTCAACCGGTTTTTGAATGGAATTCTAGCTGTAGGGTATGCGTTTAGATCAGACTGTTCGTTGTCCACTACCGGGAGTTGGCACTATCGTAGTGATCAACAATGAGGCCTACACAGTCGAGAGAGTCATCCACGGGCCAGCGAAGCCACACAGTGGAAGCCACACAGTGATATTGCCAAATGGGACTATCAACAAATCGTACGCGGCAAGAACATACGAGGATCCGGAGATGATCCTCAACAGGCCGGAATTTCAAGACAGCAACGGCCTCCAGTTCCTGAAATGTTTCCTACACAAGTATAACGCGCCAACAAATCTCTCCTGGATGGTCAAATAGGCAAGCTCTGCGACTGCAAACGCACAGGAAGTATTGGATCGGAATGCGAATCGCCACCGGCGAGTGCCGGACGGTACACTGGCTCAGAGCAGGCTTGGGAAGGTAACATTGAACGAGTGGTGAGGATTCAACTTGATGAACAGCCACGTCTTCTAATTATACAAAAGCCAAGGACCGCTTCTCAACACCTGTCCATTTCAATAGATTAAGGATTGTTCCACTACAATATTCCATCATAATACTTCTTACTGCATTTGCTATTAACTAAGGGAAACATTTTCCCTGGGACAGCCTGAGGTGGGCGTCGGTCCCCATTGCTCTAAGGTGCGAAGCGCTTTGGCTCACCCAGGCTCGCCAGCTCACTCTGACTCGGCACGAGCTGGGGTGTATGAGGATGATCACAGGCATGTACAGGGCAGTACCGTGTACGGGACAGTATCACTATCGTGCCGATCCTTAACCATCACTTGGCACTAAAAACAGAAAGTAAATCGACACCGAGCGGCGCTGTTGAGCCTTTGGCGCCTTGGCACCCACTACTCAGCGTATAGCTGTCAGACAGATTCTCTCTCTTCGATACCCAATGCCATACCGCTCATTACCATCGTCATAGCCCTTTGCTTCGCCGGACCTGCGCCGCTTTTATCATTGCTCACCTCTTCTTCAACCTCGACTCTTGTCTTCCGTAGAATACTCGGTATTCGACACTGGCTTCTGCTTCCTTCGCCAGACCAGGGTCGTACATTGGTGGGTGAACAGGTTCCCCATTTTGGGCCTTCCAAGCGCGTCGCCGTCCCTATCCTTTCAACTCTCCTTCCCATCCTTTCGACCATATCTCTCTACGCTAAATAGGCCTTACTCTCTATGTAAAAGTCGGAACTCTCGTCCTACGCGAATTTCCGTCTCTTGTCCACCTAGGCGACCCCCGTCACTAATGCTACGAGGTCAGCCGTCGTCCTCGCAACTACCTAGTATATAGTCTAGGCATCTTTCCGGATACCCCTCCGACACCATTACATGTCTTGCAATGGAGTCGCACGGGACCCCGGCAACGCCTAGACCAAGTACGAAGCGACAGGCGACGACTCAATGTTGCTGGTGAGGCTGCTCTTGATGCTACTGTTGGGGCGGAGCACATCCGATTTCCTCCCGGCTGCAGCGCCTTAATCTTGTCTACGAGCGTCGCTTCGAGAGTGCGACTACGTACGGTTCATATCTTCCCACAAGTTAGAGTTGGCCGGTTTTCCTCCCTCTCCCTTCTTCCTTGCGGTGCACCAGCTGCAACAAAAACACTGCCTACTCTTCTTCTCCATTTTCTGCTCCGCGCGGTGGCACTGGATCAAGGCTGTACGATTTCAAAACAAGTCTAGTAGGCTGCCGCACTCTCTTGCTTCCCAACAAGAGACAATTGCCCTGAAATATTCATCTGTATGAGAGAATTTCTGAGCTAGAACAATAAAAAAGGCCGCATCATCCACCATGGATCCGTTATCCATAATCAGTACGATCAGTGCTATCGTAACTGGCGCCTTTGCTCTTTCGTCCCACCTCTACACTTTTGTTGACGAAGCCAGGAATGTGAACCAGGCAGTTATTGACCTGGTCCAGGAAGTTAATGCCCTCATTTCAATACTGAGGGCAGTCAAATTGGGACTTGAAAGCGACCCTGTAAGGCGCGCCTTTCGACGCACCAACCCAGATGACGATCGACTTCTCTGGGAATCAATCCGGGGGTCCTTGAATGACTGCCAAGCAACCGTCGACAGGCTGGAGAAAGCGATTGAGGATGTCCGTCCCGAGCGCGACAACTTCGCACAACAGGCAGCCCGCCGGATTAGGCTCAATCTGAAAGACGGAGAGATCACCGCCGCGCGGGCACAAATCAAAACACACACTGACGCTCTACAAATGGCTCTCCTGATGGTCAACCTTCGGGCCGCCTACCTCGCCCCCGATGTAGTCACCAATGAACTTGGACCCAAGATTGTCGAGCTTCGAGCATTTATGGAGCTTGTCTACGGCAGTGAAGCCGATTTGAGGACCAAATCCTTGGGAATCGAGCCTGCCTATCTTACGGGACTTCGCCAGTCAGCACAAAGGGTTATTTCAAGCGCCACGACCGTGGGTGTGAACAGTGAGGCGACTGGCTCCATTTGGGGCGAAGTTATGGATGAACAGAGGCGAGGCGAGACTCTATCTTGGATTCCTAAGCCAGACATCCCCGAAGAGCCCGATACGCTGCGACCGGCACCTCCTCTAAGCGATGATTACTCTGGCTCACAAATGACTCCATCGATGGAGTGTGGTGCCCGGGAGACAGAATCCGATTCAGATGGCGACTTTGAATCCGAAGAGGTTGAGAGCTTCTTTGCCAGAGGCACTCTGGAATTCGATGCCGACAATTTCGAGGGGGCGCATTCGATTCTCCAGTATGGCCTCGAACTCGCGGAGAAACTTCCCTTCAAACGCAGACAACCAACACAGATAGCAAAGGTCAAACTAATGATCGCGACGTGTATCTATCATTCATCTAATCTCAAGGAGGCTGAGGCCAGACTCCTTCCAATTACGCAGGAGATGGTGCACGAGAACGAGACAGATGAAGGTGCAATTCGTCGGTGCCAAGCTTCGCATCTCCTCGCTGGTACCTTGTTGCGACAAGGGAGATATTCAGATGCAGAGGTCTTCTGCCGCAAAGCGCTCATCGGCAGGCGCCGCGTCCTCGGCAAGAACCACCTCTCTTACTTTGAATCACTAAGCTTGCTATCCCGGATTTATGAAGCAGACGGTAATAGACAACATGCGATAAATTGTTGGGCCATGATCCCGGGCGATGCTGCATCCAAGCTTGAGAAGATGAAGAATGAGTTTCCTAATACGCTACAGGGACGTTCAAAGCCTCATCACGCCGATGAAATGTCGCCCACGAGGCCTCCACCGGGCGATGATACTGGACAATCTCCATCGGCTTCAGAAACTCCACCCGTGACCATCACAAGCGGCGAGACCCAAATCCCCACGGCGAGAACAAGTTCACCACCGCTCCCCCCTGTGGCATCCTCGAGCTTATCCAACCAGGAGACACCACGTTCCTCGCGCGAGAGATCTTCACCGACACTGCCAGCCTCGCTTCCACACCACACACCATTGACTCCCATGTCTACAAACAGATCCATGTCAACGTCATTGGTCTCGGCGGTCACAGCTATCAATTCGGAAGCAGCTGAAGAAAACCCAACGCGGAGAAGATCCTTCATCCGTAGAAAGTTCCGATGGCGGCAAGGTTCGGAACCGTCGATGGCAATCAAAGCTTCAACTGGGCCAGCCGTCATTAGAGAGGAGGGTGGCATTGTCGTCCTGAGGCCGCAAAGTTTTGTGAACTATGCAGGCGAGCGGGGTGAGGAGGGGAGTCGAAGGAGTGAGCGTGTTCAATGGCCGGGGTTGCACTGATGGTGAGTGATGTGACCAGCCCTGGTGCGACCGTAAACTGATCGACATTGAGAGTGGCGGACTTATCGCACCCGACAAAGGCCAATTTGTTGTTGAATTCTTCAATGGGGAGAAATAGCCCTGGAGGCGATGTATTCGGGTCTTTGGCCATTTGAGGAAACTGTACGAAGAATTTTCCATCCCGTTGCGAAAGTGTTCAGCAATTCTAGCAAATGTCCACCATCAATCATACCTACGTCCAGTATGATAGCGTGTTTCTTGCCGTAGTGCTTCAAGAGGATTTGCCGCCAACCAGACATGGTTCAAGAATTCTTCAGATGTGTTCTTTGAGAGGTAAGGCGTAATGGGGCTAGTGGGCTCAACTCACAAGCCGCAGGTGGTCGGCTTCACAGAGAGCAGGGTACGCGTACCGTCCCCTGCGACTAGGAGTTATCATCCTCCCACCAGCAGATATGCAACGGGCTCAAACCGAGGTTGGTGGAACGATCCAGAGAGCCAGCAAGCTAAGTCGACGGCCCACGTGTGACTCGGAAGACAATATGAGTGGTTATCTACCGAAGAGGGTGCCAGTGGATGTCAAGACTACGAGTCCCTGGTCGTCTAGCGCATTACAGGCCCTGTCCTGTCATTACACATATAAAGGAATGCACAAAAGCGTCCTTATCGAATTTACTATAGCCTAATATATTTAGGTCTCGAACAAATAATATTATTGAGTGACTCTGTCATCCTTCTATGGTCTCTTGTTTCTTTTCTACCTATATCTCCAGGATGCATGATATGGACTGCATGCAAAGAAGGCGGTACTGATCCAAGACGGCATTGATTCTCATCTCTGCATCTCAGCGCAAGGACAGTCATTGTGGCTCTGACCCTGGCATCATTCTCATCCCTTCGCCCGCCATCAGCCCGTGTCCGTGGACATAACTTCCCCTTTGAAGCTGATAATGGGATTTGTTGCTTTGAGTATGAGGGTGTGGATATAGCCCCACATGCCGGACGTCAAATCGCACATCCGCACCGTGGAAAATGACAATGTCGTCGCCGACTTGGGAAGAGTGGGGCGCCCTGGCGCATCGGCCATGAGATGTGATGCATGATGTCTTCCTTCCCACCCAGGAAGCCTGCAGCATCTCGGCCAGTTGTATACCCCGGACTTTCTGTTGAGACAGAGATACAACAAATTGCTCTTTCTCTTCAGAGTTGCCTTAGACCGTCAGTTCGACAACACGCACGATTGTTACCGTATGGGCTACAATGTCGGCGCTGGCAACGCCGCCTCCGCTGGACATGTTGCAGATCATCGTCCTGATGAGCTCGTCATATCTGGTGTTCACTGAGTCCCCTGACATAGGATTTGTCAAGGCCATCGTCTTTCATTAAAATAGCCGAAGATACCTCTGCATCAAAGATGGAGATCCATTTGGAGGTTCGGGGGCCGACAGGCAGCCCAACTGGCCAATCCAGTCCACAAGGTGACCTTCTACTGCCAGGACTAGACCGTCAAGACGAATGTTAACCACTTTTTTTAAGGATGCACTGTGCTGTTG